AGATATTTCGCCATGTTTTTCTCTTAAGCTCTCACTAATCTAATGCATTCTTCTACTTAAAGTTTAGACATAGATTTAATATAGCTATGATTCACGTAATGTTTTTTCTTGTGTACAATTTTAAAAGAATATCATATTATGGATGCGTTCATTTGTAACCTTTTTAGCCTATTTCAACAAATGTCGTGAAAAAAACTAGACATAAGTTGAAGTAAATCAAGTTGTATTAAAATTCAAACAATATTTGTGAATTTTGATACCTTTCAACTCGGTCTATTCGTTTGAATTTTTAATTTGTTATAAAATATTTTTATGATGTAGAATAATTACATATTTTGTGTTGGGTTGGGTTTTCACTTAAAAATATCGCCAACCCGACCCAACCCAATTAGAAACAAACCGTAGGGTTTAGATTTTTTTGGGTGGATTTGGGTTTAATATTTTCCAAACCGTAGTGCATGGGCCGGGTGATTAAAATGCCAAAACCCGGACCACCCGATCCATGTACACCCCTACCTACAAGATCAACTTGTCGGGAGAGTATGGAGTAAGTGCAACGTTTAATGAAACACCCTAACCCGGCCGGGTACTACCTTTACTAAAATGCCCTTGAAAAAAATAAAATACTCGAACCTTAAATTATAGTGGGGAAAATTTTCATAAATAAAATACTAAAAACATACACACTTGTAGTTAAAAGCAACGCCCTAACACGTGGGCAAATTAACTCAAACATTAAAATCTCAATATGATCTCCAGTCTATACTCATAATCATAAATTTAAATAACTAATAAATCTCTAATGTTGCTGCTACTGAAAACCTTGACTAAACATCCTCCGTGACGCTTATACTGCCCTCCTCTAGCTGGCTGCCCTCGAACTCGCTGCTCACTAACTGCTCCTTTAGCTCCTCCATCTCTTCAAACTGGTCAGTGAGATGAGGTCAGTCTACGCCCTTACGTTTATTACTTTTGGTACTTGAGCACTTTGCTTAAAACACTTACTTAAACTTATGGAAGTTGTGTGTACTTCCGCCTTTTAAACTTTAACTCTTAAAAGCGTATTATTTCTTCCTTTATCTTATTATGGGGCCCCTACCTCGACTTAGCTGGCGCCACTACTAGCCTTACTTACTTTCTTACTTCTTAAACATGACTACCCTCACAATGGGGTGCCCCTCAAATGGGTTTGACCACCGCGGAACGAATCACCATCCGGTGTCAAACTACGGTGTGACTACCGCGGAACGTATCACCATCCGGTAGCACACATAAACTAGGCAATGGGGACCGCGGAACTCGTCACCGTCCGGCTCCGTGCCTGACCAACTACCGTGAAACGTATCACCATCCGATAGTGATCAACTACCGCGAAACTTATCACCGTCCGGTAGGAACCATCTAGCTAGTGGCTGGCTAAGGAGGCTAACTTATTCTTACTCATGACTTTCTCTTGCTCTTATCACTTTAACTTAATCGTCAAACGAAACGTAAAAGCTTTAATTAAGTACTCAAAGCTCATAACATATATTTCAAACTATAAATCACAAGAACACACATCATCACCCATAAACATAATCAAGCACTGGCATATACTTCAAGTAAGCACATATTTAAAACTCGTAAGGCGTAGAATTTACCCCCTTTACACTCACCTCGAATCCCGTCGAATCCAACTCTGATTTTGCTATAAAAATTTCCATATTTGCTCCCGAAATATTCTCCTTGCTTTCACGATTACATAGGCGCAGACGGTTCCTCGATCGGACGTCAATTAATCGAGTTATGGTAAAAACAAACATTCTGTTAGTTTTCAAAGTACCAGGTACCAATTTGGTAGATTCCCAGTCAATGAGTTGACCACCACCTCTCCGGAAACTTACAGAAATAATCCTCTAACTTTTCGAATAAAAAGAATCGATACCTGAACTATCCGATTTGCGTCCCAATCTTTCGAGGCTCCTATCTCCCTCGTATGACCTCCGAATTTAATTTCGTCGAAACTGAGATGCTCCTGGGATCGAGCTCTTCGCCACGGTACCCACAGTTTGAAGCTTTTTTTGGATTTGATGACTCCCCGGTACGTCGACGAATTCTCCAACGAAACTCCAACTACGCCGGCGATGACGCAAACGTTGTCGGCCCGCTCTCCTCCCTTTAAGGACGACCACCATCATCATCACCACTGCATATCATTATCGATCTTGGATTCTAGGTGACGATCCGCAATCTGTCTAGCCTGCCGTTCCCAGTTGTGGGCTTGTGGTCGAGTCTTCGGGTTCACGCCATCTCTCTTGTTCGCGGTGATAGGGATGGGTTACAGGACCAGATTTGCTTGGAAAACAACAAGGATGAACCCACCATCCAATTCCTACATGACGATCCTTTCAGTTTCGGAGCTTTCCATCTTCTCTCATTTTCTTTCCTCGGGAAATCGATCACCATCGGGGATGGGGGACTGTTACTGAATCGACGGAGACGAGTGGGGGAAGCTGCTGGGATTTCTTTTTTGGCATCTCTCGGTGGTAACTATAAATGGACATTTTAATTGGGGAAGAGTGGTGGGGACGGCTCATGGGTTATGCACCCATCAATAACCAAATGTGGACCCTTCATTTAGAAAATCTAGATCTAAGGATGGAAAATTAAAGGTCATTTTTATTTTCACTAGCTTTCTTAATTGACTCATATCTTTTTCGTTTTAACTCGGATTTTAATTTTTTTTGCACAGATGGAACGAGTTCATCGTGCTCTACAAAATGAGATCAATTTTCAATATTTTTTTAGGAAAAAAAATTCTGGCATCTCGGTACCAACTGCATACCATATGGTATCTTCTTCGTTTTTAATTCGTTTTTAAAAACGTTTGCACAGCAGGGAAGAGTTCATCATGATCTATTGGATCTACAAATTTCTGGGTGAACAAATTACAAGACAAAAAAATACCACACAATACCATACAATACCACCCTGGTACGGGGTGGTATCTTATGGTATCTTATGGTATACAATGTTAAAAGTCGTATTCAACCATCCTACAGTTTTGGTTTGTGTCATATCACCATGGTACGCTTTTCAAACCATATGTATGCTCTTATTTCAATACCAGTCAATACCATATGGTATAGACTGGTATAAAATGACTCAATTTTTTTTGTTCGAAAAATATATCAAAGTGGATATCATTTTGAAGAGCACAATTAATTTGATCTAACTGTGCAAAAAAAATTAAATTTCGACTTAAAACGAGTGAGAAATCGTCCGTCAAAGATTAAGGAAGGGAAAATTAAAGGCTTTCCAAGCAAGAGAGGATGCTGATGTGGGCGAGTTACTCATAGTTACTCACCATAAGGTTACTGACCTGATCCGTTCCCGGTGGGGACTGGGGCATAAATAATTAAAAGGGGATGGTAATGGGAAATGGTAACTGGTGTGGGAAAATGATGGGGTTGTAAAAGGGTGGGATTTTTCTTTTATATTTTTCTTTTATTTTCCTTTATTTTCTTGTTGGGGAAAAATGATGCTTATGATGATAATAATAATAATAATAACTAATAAAATAATAATAATGATGATAATAATAATAATAATAATAACTAATAAAATAATAATAATAACTAATGTTATTATTATTATTATTTCTCAATTTATGGTTGAACCCTTCGTACGCAATCGTCAATCCAATCGCTGGGTCGAACCTTAATCGAACCCTAATCCGAAAATGGGGTTTTACATTTAATGTTTCTGACATTGCACCTTATTTGGATGGAAATTCGAATTTGAGGGCAAATTCTTTTGAAGAAGGAGAGGCTGATGAGGACATCAATGGACTAATCACACGTGCAAAGGCAAGAACGTTGAAGGAGAAGCTTGCAATGTATTTGGAGAGCTACTTTGGAGCCATGGACGTGGAGTTGTTTCAAGGGAAGCCATATATGATGATTAGAGTGGAGGAAGAAGGAGGAAGTGCTGGAGAGAAGGCAGATCCAAGAAGGAGCCTTAACGGGTTTGCTTAACGGGTCTAGGCTTAACGGTTTGGGCTTAACGGGTTTGCTGGGCTATTTTCGGGTTTCCTTGTTTTAAAGTCGGTTTATGATTGTTTTTCCATGTTGGAGTCAGATTTGGATTGTATTTGCCTATTTAAAGGGGATGAACTCGTTGGTTTAAGGGTGAGAAACCCTATTGATTAATTTGAATGCTTTTGCCGACTTCCCTTGAGGACTTTTCCCTAATTACTCTATTGAGCACTCTGGAGAGTTATAGTGACTCTTATCAGCTAGGTATTCACCCTAGTTGGGCGAGCTACCCATATCAACTGCCCTTGACTCCGAGTTGAGATTTTTCGATCGATTCCAATATTGATCGCCCCTTTTCACGAGTGAGTTCTGTCCGGTTGATCCCATCTTTATCTTGGTTCTTTTATTTGGTTCGAATTGCTTGGGGCTGTGCTACTTTGATTGTATCACATTCCCGAATTACTCATCATATACAAAAAGATCAACGTGATCTAGTTCATTTATTCCACTTAAACCAAATCAGAGTGTCATTTACTACTATGCTCAATACGGTATCGTCTACTATGCATACCAAATCATCAACTCGTAAAACATAAATGAGAATTGTAAAACTTCAAAACCAATCTTCCATCAATCTTTGTGCAGTGCCAGAGTTTCTCTTAATTCATTTAGACCTATAAGAACTGAACACAAGTGGGTCAGCAACTAGACCTCGAATTAGCAGGATTTTTGGGCTTGATACTATACCCTAACCCTTAATGACTAAACCCTAGGCCCTAATTATCTAAATAATAAACTATAAACTCTAAGATGGTGTATTCATTTTTTGCATATAATTGGACGAATCATAACCGTTGATTAATGTTTTTGATCTTTAAGGGTTATAGTATAGTATCATGTCAAAGACATCAGTAAATTCAAGGTCTAAATAGCATTTTCATACTCAAGTTATGCGATACCCCGAATTTCACTCTGGGTATCCTAACTAGTTGTTCATATGACCAACCCAACTGCCTTTCTCTAAATATATATTCTATAGATGAAAATATTTACAAGTTACTAACTAGTTTCAAACCCCTATTATCGCATCCCACCCTCCGGATCACCAAAATCTTTGAATTCCTATGGCAACTATGATCAACTAACGAACGCTACCCCTACTACTGTTTTCGCACATCGGAAAACTGGTAACTTTCCTTTCCTGACTATAACTAGCTAAAGAGTTTAGAGAGATCAAACTATACACAAGGAGGAAACCAGAGTTGTAGAAAAAGACTGGACTACTAGCGAAGCTTATTTTGAGCAACAGCCTGGCATAACTCATCCTCATAGAAGAGAACACGATTAGAAGCCAAAGACTTGCATAGCGGTTTGGACATAGTAGAAGGAACCACACATCTCGGGGGCAAAGCAGAATCCTGGAACAGAACGGCTGCAATTTGCTTCATCTCTGTGATTTTAAGGCGAGAAGGTGGCCTGGGACCTTGCCTTGGTGCTTTAGGAGTATGGGGGCTTGGCAGTAAGGCACTCTTTCCATCTCCCTTTCTGTTATGGTCGACCAAAATATTGCAAGTAAGTACTTCTGAAGGAAAAGGAAAATAGAAAACACCTATTGAAAATATTGTTCAGGTCCGCCTTACCCAACAAAAGGGTAGTGCTCTGCGGGGAGCGGTGTCATTGTTCTCAGCATCTCCTGCCTGGAACGATCTGGGGTGGTATAATTGAAATGGAATTGCCTGGCAATCACAACCTGCCCCAGCCCATCCCATTATAAACAAAGTTAACTACACTTGTTCTTTCAAAAATTCAACTCGGAACTGTAACGAGAGGAACTTACAGCTTTTCGAATCTTCCGAGAAACATGGAAAACAGGCCTTAGCTGGTCATGATGAAGGTGACACAGGACATTAACCTGGCATATAAGGCAAACAACCTAAGTCGATACGCCAATCGTTCGGAACAAAACTGGCTAGATAGTAAGTAAGAGCAACCGAATGCTTTCCAGAAAGCATGAAATGAACATGAATCAAAATGGGCGTCCATTTAGCATATTACATGCCTTAGTCCTGAAACAATCAGATTAAATCCTGAGCCGTGCTTTACTACGGCAGATAAGCTACACTGGTTTCATTAGCGAAACAAGAAATGCAAACCCACATCACTATTGAAGCATACCAGAGTATAAGCAGCATATTCATAGAAACTAGAAGCAAGCAAATATACCCCACGGCCAGAGATTATTCTTACCAACAGATCCATGGGAAGAGACTCCAGCCTCGACTCAGATTCACAATCTTCAACACGAGGCGTCTTAGGTGTCCTCTCGAAGCGATTATGTTTGAACAAATCCATGGGCGACAGTAACAACGGACTATTGTCATGAGCAGCCACCTTATTTCCTAGGGAAAGATTGTCGAGGGCGTCTGTCTTGTCTGTGTCAAACACAGCAACCCTCTTTCTTCCGAGATCAGTACATGACTTGGTCACCGATGCTTTGCTGTATCGCAGCTTAGCAAGAGCGCCAGGTTTCAGGTACCTGCTACTTGAACTCCTCAACCGCCTTCGTCGTCTCGGAGTGTTAGAGTGCCCATCTTTTGGAGAAACTTTTCCCATCACTAGTAGTGCGCAATCTATCTTCGCTGCAAGCAGCACTGTTCCCTTTTTGCAGAACCAAATAACTGCTCTCTGATGCCACAAATCATCAAAAACTTGCTTGAATCCATCACAAAACAGGAAAGAAGAAGGGAAAGAACAGACAGAGTCAACAACATCAAGAAAGAAATCGAATTGAAAGAAACAAGCAGAAATACTGACCTTTCTGGAACGTATTCGAGAATCCAGGAGACATCAACCACCCTCCAGCTTCCAATCACTGGACCTGTGAGGTAAACACACTAGAATCCAATCAAATACCAAAAAAGTACCTCCACACAACCTAATGAAGCCTGGTCGCCGGCATCAATTCACCCTAGTAATCCCCCCTGAACAAAACCCCAAAACTAAGCTCTTGGATTGGGTATCAGACGATGGGAAACAGAGAGATGAACTCACCTGAAGCAACTTCCCCCAGAGAGAGAGAGAGAGAGAGAGAGAGAGTATGGAGGGAAGAGAAATGTAAAATTTGGAGGGGGCGCCGGTAGGGTTTTGATTTTGATTTGAATTCCTCTTTTATTGCCGCCAAAGTTTTCAGCACAGAACGAGATAGAGAGGGAAAAGCATTTTTCTTTCCCTCTACTCTGAAAAAAGAGAGAGAAACGAATAAGAAACTTAGAAAAAGAAGTCAGTGGTCTACCTGAAGGTGCTGACATGGCGAGCCGTTAGTGGAGGCGCTTGTACACGTCTCCCTCTCGTTTTCCCTGGAGTCTAGGGATGGCAACAAAATCCGAACCCACGGGTACTCACCCGATCCAACCTGGTCAACGCGGGTAAAATCCGTGTTGACGGGTTTTGGGCCGGGTTTGGGTTTAAACCCGTTTACTATTTACCGGGTTGGGTTGGGTTTGGGTTTAGGTAAACTCGGCCCGTGGGTACCCGCCCACTCATATAATTAATTTTTTCGGTATATTTAATATTCTAAACAACTATTCTTATGTATGTTTGAGGAGACATGTCTAATATTTTCTTTTTAATTGTGTAGAATGAAGTTGATGTTATGGAGTGGAGGCTAAAGAAACTTAATTGAAAGAAAGAAACTTTCAATTAAACATGTTATTTATGGATAATTTGTGATTTGCTTCAATTTTCATGAGTTTTCTAGATTGGTGTTGAACAATTTGTATAGTTAATTTGTGATTTGCTTGAATTTTCTAGAATGGTGTTTTATATATGGATAATTTATATTGTGAGATTGATATTTGACTTTAATTTTGATAAGAACTTGTAATTGTAAATTTCTTACGACAAAATCCGTGGGTACCCATGAACCCGCGGATACCCAACGGGTTGGGTTGGGTTTGAATTTTTCAAACCCGGTGGGTTTTATCCCTGGTTTTTTTCAAAGATAAACCCATGGGTTTGGGTTTGGGTTTGGCAAAACCCGACCCAACCCGACCCATTGCCATCCCTACTGGAGTCCCCGTAGAATGCGTAGAGTGGGATTCTGTGATGTAGGATTTATCTTTAAAAACTTCTCAATTCTTTTTATTTTAATTTGGAGGGAAAATGGGGTGGTGTGGTCGGGACGAATTCATATATCTTTCACCACTTGAATATTGGAGAACGGTTCTCTATCTCCAATCCAACGCTTCATAAAAATGGTCCATTAATAAATGGTTTAGATTTGTGCGGAAAAGTGGTAGTGGATTGTGAGGTCAGCATACTGAAAAGTAGCTGACAAAAAGTTATTTTTGGGACCCACGGACTGAAAAATGAGCTGACAGAAGAGAGAATAGAGAATACAAGTTCTTGAAAATGCTGAATATGATTTCTGTTTTGTACAAATATGTTTTGTATTTAGTAAGAATATGGTTTTTAATGCGTGGTATATTATTTTGAATAAGAGTTGTGAAAATTACGAATATAGAAATCAAACATATGGAATATGTTTTCTATTCAATGCAAATATCATTTTTTGTTTAATACGAATATGTTTTTCTAATGTGTATATTTGTTAAGTACAAATATGTATTTTGTTCAGTACAAATATTATTTTATTATAATTAGCAAACTTTCAAACCAAAACTTTGTTGCTAGATAATGATTTCAACAACTGAAGTAGGGGTAGACGGACCGGCCTGGGTTGATATCTAAATACTTGCTCTATACTGCACCGGGTTAGAGTTTAAAAACTTGGACTCTAATCGGGATTTTATTGTGGTGTAGTTTCGTGCGAGTCAATTCATGGAGTATCTTTTCGTATTTTTGTTTACAAATCATGGAACTTTAAAGTAGAAAAAATCATAAATCAATTTTTCATAAATGGGAAGTGAAGATCTTTAGAAACAAATCAAGAATTCATTAGTTACCAATATTCATCATTTGGACTAGGAGAACAAACCTTACACTGTTAGGGACTATTTGCAAAAAATAAGATGTTTTTTCCTACTATTTGTGAGGTGTAGATGTCGACCAAGGTAAGATGATCTAGAAATTATGAGTTTAAAAAATATCAAAAGGGATATCATCTTGTAGAGCATATAAAATATGATATTTCTACGAAATTGAGTTTGGTCTAGTGGTAATAATACTAATGTCTTGAACTTAGAGATCTTAGGTTCAAATTCCTTAATTAGTACATAATCATAAAAAGTATCAGAACGGAAACTTGTGAATGGTCCTAATAAGGGGGTGTAGGGGCAAACATTGTCTAAACAATCGCCTCCCTTTGGTCCGACCTACTTTCTTCGAGGTCATGAAGGCACTTATAAAAATAATTGATATTTCTATGCAATTTTTTTTTTAAATCCAATGTATAAGAAATGGTTTACTATCCGTTGAATTTTTTTTATCACGGCCCAAAAAATCCTGCCAGCTCTCTATTCAAGCTTTTACTTTTCCTATCCTATTTACCCTCTAAAAAAGATGATGATTAAATTATTTCTCCTTTAATCTCAACCATTGATTAATTTTGTACCCTAACCCAAAACATTTTTTTATTTAAAGAAGAAAACTGCGAATATGTTGGAAGATAAAACCAAGACCGCTGTTGTCTGGGCAAGCAGATATAACGCTGTACGGTGCACAGGTGCACTGCACTAAATAGGAGGGAGGGAGGGTTCGCTTTCCTGCTTAAAGAAGCCGCACCCACTTTTACCAACAACAACAACAAAAAAAGAAGAAAAGAAAAAAAAAAAACCCCCCAGCGCAACAATGGTGAGATTGGGGAAGACGTTACTGAAAGAAGCAGCTAATGGAATCGGCAAGACTCTATCTGGAGTCCTGGCCTGCCCACTCTCCAAGCAGCCATTGAGGTCGTCCCTTTCTTTCCCCTTTCCTCTGGAATGAACTTTTCTTATCTAATATTAATTGGGAATGGGGATGCTAGGTATTGCAAGGAAACCAATTCCCTCATCAGTGATTCAATTGGCGTCTCCTATCCTGTAGGCTATTTCTTTCCCAAATTGCTCATCATAAAATTTTCCGCCCTTGGCTCAATTTGGGCATTGGTCCGCGTCTGCATCTATAACTCCCCCTTTCGTCGTTGTAGATGAAGGATGGGATCCCTTGCTTGGTTCCTCGAGATGGAAAGATAGTTGGAGGTGATGACAATGATGGACACAATGGAGATCCCGCTACAATCCAATCCACTGACTAGTCGCTCCTTCGTCTCGATGAGGGTTAGACCCTTTACTTGATTATTGCTGCTGAAAGATGTATTGTACACTTTGTCGGGGTCTATGGTGAATTGGGTCAATTTTGTTCTGTCAATTCCTGCTCCCAAACAGCTGCAATGTCAAAGTCATCGTTGGGGTTTACGTTCTGTCTACTCTTTTCCTTCCCGTGTACTGAACTGAAGAATCTGGTATGTGTTTGAGCTCTAAACCCAATCTGATCGTCCTGGTAATCCAGGGCAGAGATTATTAAAATGCAGTGGTGGGTGGCACCAATTTCATAGATTAAAAGGTCAAGAGTAGCAATCAATCAATCTTTAGGTCCAACCGCTTGTCGTTGGACACTCGCGGTCCTTCTCCAAATCTACCAAACCCTTAGTTAAGCTTACGCCCACACATGAAACAAGGAAGGATCATCGTTTGTTATCATTCTCATCCCAGGCTGCGACCCTTCATTAAGTATCTAATCAAAATGTTTAACTCCCCGCTAAAACCCCAAATGGTGTTCAGCAAGCTGGCTTTGTTGCTCTGCAATTGCATTGGTCGTGAAGATGACATCTTTCTCATGGTAACAGCTCTGAATGCGTTGGGGAGCATCAAGGAAGGAGGGTTTGATCCTGAAACCGCAGGCTCGAGCTCGTCAAGGATTGACGCGGGTAAGTGTTGCTGTGTTTGTTTGTCACAGATGGAAGTTGGTGATTGTCTGCGTATGCTTCCCTGCATGCATAAGTTCCACGAGCTCTGTATAACCAGGTGGCTTGAAGGGTACGGCAAAACTTGTCCCCTGTGCCGGTTTTCAATGGGGGAAGATAAGAAGCCAGAAGAAGAGCAGCAACTCACAGTGGAGATGCTCATCTGGTTTTCTTCATTTCATGTTGCTGGGTTCTAGTTGGAAATTCGCTCTTGGCAGAGACTGGGTCAAACTTTGTTGTGGTTGATATCAGAGAATGCAAAATGTCAATACTAACACCGGCATCAATGTCAATGCTATTGCTGGGAATGAAACCGGTTCTACTAAATCAAACTCCCACATCCCAAGTCTTAACCGTTTCTGTATTCTGTAATCGGAAAGCAGCAATCCAAACTGCCAACACTTGCAAATTACACTGCATCCTAAGTATCGCCTAATAGTGGTTATCATGTAAGTAGTAGTGTTTGTTTTTGTTTTTCACAATTAGATCATAAGCTTTCTCATGCTAATTTATTCCAATTGATAGGATTATAGTAAACATATAAAGTAAGGACATATTTAATTAGCAAAATCCATACAAATAAATTATAGATCACTTATCAAGTCAATTAACCAAAAGTTTTTGACGCCATGAACTCCGTATGCTCCAGTAAGCTTTCTAGTCTAAAAGCTTGAATTAGGAGGAAAACAATTTTTCTTCTTCCAATGCTAAACTGTGAGAAACCATTGGATTATAATCATCTTTGATTAAAAGGTATGAAAGAATGAACATCTCTTAATTCTAATATTCAAAGCAAGGTTTGTAAAACCGTTTGGTAGAGTATTTTGTAGTAATATCGTGATTTAACCGTGGTCCAATAGTTTTTTACCGTTAAAATCGCTTATCATTTTGGGTAAGGTATCGATATCTCTGTCGAACAGGCCGGTAAGGTAGGTTCCCAAAAAATTATTTCAAAGGAACAAACATGACCCAAATATTGGATTAATATGTGGGTTTATTAAATCCATACTCAAATTCTCTTGTATTTATTATTCAATTCAAACTCGATCAAGTTGTCAACAACAATGATCTCCTCAAATCGTTGAAAATAACAAATACAACCATTTCTATAAGGGATCATTAGTAGTGAAGACTATTATTAGTGTCACAAAGTCAAAAGTGAGATTACAATTCACAATAATTGTACATACTATTAGTAATATGTATAGAACCAAACAAGATACAACGTTAATCCTGAAGCTAATTGATCCAGTGTGGTGTGTTGGGTTTTTTAGTGGTGTGAATGAAAATGAAATGGGAAAGTTCCAAGAGAGTCTCTTGAAGTACCATGTTGGTAAGATGTAGGAAGGCACGGCCTTGAATTCGATCGATTTGATGTAATATGTGGTTAATTGGTTAAATTGGTTTGTGTAACCAAATGAACCAAACCGAACCGATATGACGGTTGGAATAACCAAACCGGTCTAACTTCCATGAGGCCGAACCAATGCAATGGTTGAAATATTTTAAACGAACCAATACAATTGTTGGGCTGTAACCACCCATACGAAGAGTTGCCTCCCTTCGTAAGCACCCCTTCATTCTCTATAAATAGCACCATACCCCCCTTTGGTTTTGATATGAAAAATACATGTTTTTTTCCGGTACCAAAATTCTGCCAAAAATCGAAAACTAGTTTTCTGCATTCTTTTCAAAGAGAAAATAGAGTCAAGTGTGGTTCTCGCCGGTTCGCTGCGTTTGATGGTTTCCGGAGTTTGAGGTACTATTAGGAACGGAACAACAACAAGAACGAGGTTACCGAATCTGGAGCTGAGTCGCGGACTAGGTCGCTCTCTTTAAGACGTTCGCGGCACTACCCTCGATGCGCACGGCAGACTATCAACCGGTCGTCTCCAGGATAAAATAGCTCCTCTGTGTACTCGCGGTTTTGTGCGAAAACCGGAGGTCTCTGAACACTCTCTCTATTTGTGTTTATGCTCGTTGTGGTGTGTTTAGAGGGACTGGGGAGGCGGCTATTTATAGGAGCTGAACCCCTAGGAATATACCCTCTTGCTTGGGGAATAAGTCGGATTAGTTAAGGAAGATAATTACTTCCTTAATTAAAACCGTCGGTTAGGATAAATCCTGCGGGGATTATCCTTCGAATATTCCTTTTCAATCGATTATCCCTAGAATATTCCTCAGAATAATCGATTAATAATTAATTATTAGATAATTAATTTCGTTTGGAATTTCTCCAAAAAATATGTATATAGTCCCAACCAACCAACCGACCGGTCGGACGGCGCGCGCGCGTGTGTGGTGGTCTGTTAGGTCCTCCCTCTCCCACAAAAGTGGGTCACCCCAAGGGGCATGCCCTTAGGAGAGAGGCTCCTATCTTTATACACAATTCACCAAGTAAAACTACCAATGTGGTAGTTTTTTCCACTAGAGACTCTATAGCTTTCAAAGCTATTCATACACATTTCCAACAATCCCCCACTTGAATAGTTTTGAAACTATCTCTGAGCATCAACAGTTCCATAAGATCGGGCATAAGCTAAGGTATCGCGAAGATTTGAACCTTAGCGTAGTGGTTACACTTCCGATTTCATAAGGGTGACTCGTAGTCTTGAACCCTATCTCAGACAGTGTAGCACACCAGATCTTTTCATTGAGTTGTGTTCTGTTCTTAGCCCGTGCGTTTATGACCATGCACGTTATCCTGGTTTAGTGAACGCTCTAGCAACTTTGTGCCTCCAAAGTTCCATAGGGAGCGGCCCCACTCCCACATTCACATAGGTGAGTCTATCAGGAGTACCCCCAAAGTAAAGTACTCCACCCCACATAGGGTATAGATCTCATTTAAGAGTTATTAACTCAACCTCCATTGCTTTGGGATTCATGCTTCATTATGCATGAACTTTTCGCATACTACTCATGACTTGTTATTACCCATTGAACCCATTTCTTGGGATCTCCAGTCTATTGGGTCGGGTTACCATCACTTGTAGTCCGTGGTTCGGTAGGCATAAGCCCCATACCCTTGGCGGTATTCTGGACTTTCTCTCTAGGTAATCCTTTCGTCAAAGGATCAGCTAGATTCTGTTCGGATCTTATATGATCCATCCTCACTGCTCCTATCGTTAGGAGTTCTCTAACAGTATTGTGCTTACGACGAATCTGTCGTTTCTTTCCGTTATAGAATCGGTTCTCAACTTTAGCGATAGCTGCGGTACTATCACAATGTATCAATACCGGAGGGACCGACCTTTCCCATAGGGGAATCTCTGACAACAATCCTCTCTACCAACTTGCTTCTTCACTAGCCGTTGCTAGTGCTATCATCTCTGATTCCATAGTTGATTGAGCTAGGATTGTTTCTTTCTTTGACTTCCAAGACACAGCTCCACCAGCGATGTTAAAAACATATCCGCTGGTTGCCTTGGAGTCATCTGATAGGGTATTCCAATCCGCATCACTATAACCTTCTAGTACAGCGGGAAACCTTTGATAGTGTATACCAAGGTTTGCTGTTCTCTTGAGGTATCTCATGACCCTCTCTATAACATTCCAATGCTCTCTACTAGGACAGCTGTTAAACCTGCCAAGCAATCCCACGACATATGCAATGTCTGGTCGAGTGTAATCCGCAGCATAACGGAGACTGCCAATGATGCTAGCATATTCTGATTGTCTTACACTGTCTCCAGTGTTCTTAAATAGCTTTACACTAGCATCATACGGAGTACACGCAGGTTTACAGTCGAAATAGTTATACTTCTTCAAGATCTTCTCTATGTAGCTAGATTGATCTAGAGAGTAACCATTTGTTGTTCTAGTTATCTGGATTCCAAGCATAAACTTTGCTTCTCCCAGATCTTTCACCTCAAAGCTCTCTTTTAACATGGCTTTCGCTTCATTGACCACGTGAATATTTGTACCAAATATCAACATGTCATCTACATACAAACATATGATAGTGCAAGCGTTATTCTCTGACTTGCAGTAAATACACTTGTCACTTTCATTCACCTTAAAGCCATGTGAGAGAACGAGAGTGTCAAACTTCTCATGCCACTGTTTTGGAGCCTGTTTCAAACCATATAATGATTTGTCCAACTTACAGACTTTCGAGGCATGTTCAGGGATAACAAACCCTTCTGGTTGTTCCATATAGATTTCTTCATCTAGATCACTGTTCAAAAAGCAGTCTTAACATCCATTTGGTGTACCACGAGATTGTTCAAGGCAGCAAGAGCAATCATGACACTAATGGATGTTATTCTAGATATTGGTGAATAGGTGTCGAAGAAATCTATATTCTCTCTCTGCCTGTAGCCCTTGACTACTAGGCGAGCTCGGAACCTTTCGATTGCACCATCAGGTTTCCGTTTCGTTTTTAGAACCCATTTATTACCTAAGACTTTGCAGCCAGGAGGTAAAATTACCTACCGGTATCCAGATATGAGTGCTGGCGGGGCTATGTATGAAGCCTTTGTCATAAACGATGATGACGTAGTTACCATGATGTTACAGTTCCTAGGAGAACGAGATGTGGCTTGCAGAGGTCTATGTTGAGACCGAGACGGTCAGTGAAAATCGTTCTCACTAGTATTCTTATGATGATTGTTTTGCAGGAGGGTACGGATGGGATGGTAGTTCAAGAAACTACAGAGGAGGTAGTTCTGCAAGAGGGGTGTCATGGGAAGAATATCCCCAACGTGCTAAATCTGCCCCATTTGTTGAGCCCGACGACATTCAATGGCCTGCTTGGGGCCAGAATGGGCTGACATTGAGAACACCATTCGATCTAGAGGAATTTTACAATGCTATATAGCATTGGTGCTATAGGGTTTTGCCTTTATGGTACAACTTGAAATTGTACCTTTAACGTGATGGTACAACTTCAGATTGTACCTATACTTTTTGTAAAAATTCTTTTATGGTATAACTTAAACTTGTACCTTTATGTGATGGTACAACTTCAAGTTGTGAAGTTGTACCATAATATAATTGTACAAATTGATTTATGGTACAAGCTGAACTTATACATTTAACATTATGGTACAACTTTAAGTTGTACATTAAAGCACCAATACTTTATAGCATAGTAGAAGTGCTCTTCGATCTGGCCGTACTTCACAGGAGCGAGAATACAATGTTGGTGATGGTGGTCACGATGATCCTCCTAGCTCGAGCTGTCCATTCGAATCCA